AGTAGCACTGCCCTGATAGGGCGAATAAAAATGTGAGGCAGTGTGGTGAAATCAGGCGCTCGTAAAAATAATGAAATCGAAGAAATATTAGTTTTTCTGTATGTCTGACAATTTTTATTGATTATTTTTCTTTTTTGGCTCAGTTCTTTTTGTGTCCTTATAAAAACACATTTCCATGAGAACTTCACAGAATCACGTCGATTATAAGCACAAAGTTTGTAATTTGATCGTTTTCAAGGACTCTCAAGCTATTGAAATTGTCAAACTTTGGCGGTCATTTTCTCGCTAATTTTACCTCTGAAATCAGGTGACCCACACCTCCTTCAATTGCAAATATCTCGACTTCTATTCGTGACAGATGGGCATTTTTTTTCAATGAGCGCAAGACTTATGAACAAGCTTTAAATATATACACCTATAACTCCATATGCCCAAAAATTGACGAGCGCCATATTCCACCGCGTCGTGACACATATGTGAATTTCAACCATGTGCCGGGAGTCGCATAAGACCTGAAAGAAACGGAAGTCAAATCGACAATAACTGCAGGGATCTTTTTGTTGACTACTCACCGGCTGGCTGTCGAACCACTCCCGCTGCTGCTGCCACCTCTTCAGCGTCTTGACCCGGGCCAGCAGCATGCCGTCTGTGCGTCCTTTGAAGAACGGGACCATTTTGGACCACACTGAAAAGTAACGGGATCATTTTGGACCAAAAAGTAACAGGATCATTTTGAACCACATTGAAAAGTAACGGGACCACTTTGCACCACATTGAAAAGTAACAGGACCATTTTATACCATACTGAAGAATAACGGGACCATTTTGGACTACACTGAAAAGTAACGAGACCATTTTGGACCCCAATTTTTTACCCCACACTAAAAAGTAATTGTTTTTGTAAGTGTTTTATTGCGCTCGCAACTGCATAAGGTCATACGAGCGTGTGGGGGATACATTAAGCATTTTCAGCTTGGTGGGAATTAATTTTGAATTTCAACTGGGTGGCATCTGAAGCCTACTCATGCTGTCGACTTTTAGGAACCACCAGGGGATCTTTAACGTGTGCAAACTTGCACACGGGACCTCCGAGATTTTTCCACTCTTATCTGGGAAGGCTAGGTGTTCAATCTTATCTACCCTAAGATCAGTGGTGTGGCTGAAAGACAGCAGTAAGAAGGAGCCAGGACTAAAAAGTAAGACATTGGAGAAAACAACTCACTTCACTTACAACACTCAGTAGCCCACTTGCTACAACTGGCTCAGAAACATTAACTATAGTCTGTT